TTTTCACTAATTTAGTCTTTTGAAAAATGTTGTTTGTCCTGTATTTAGACCCCTCTACCAAGAAATTTGTTTTGCATGCACACGTATAAAAATTGCGGTTTTTATCCAACGCAATCATAGGTTTTAACGTTGTTTTTAATTTAGACTTGTTTATATTTTTTCGTTTGGGATTGCTTTATATTTGTCTTCGGGTTTATCTGATCTGTTCATCCTCTTTTGACTCTTTCAAAATTCAAGAGTCTATCCTAAATTGAGGAAAATTATCTGGCCCTCATAATACCGTTTCGATTCCTAACATCACTAAAGAGACATTAATTGTCGAAATCCGGATATGGTATACAGATTTTAGCACATCATGTTTGCGGTATACAATCTTTTCCGCAAGTTTATTGTTTTCTGTTTGGTAATAAATTAATAATAAGATCTACTTTGTTACATCTTGTGATCCGTTTTTTTGGCAATCGCCAATGGCAGTCAGCAGGGTTTAAGAACATCACTTGTTCGACCTGCTAGTCAAATGCGTTTTGTTAAAATATACTTTTTCACTCATTTGGTCTTTTGGAAAATGTTGTTTGTGTTGTATTTAGACCCCTCTGCCAAGACATTTGTTTTGCATGCACACGTATAATAATTGCGGTTTTTATTAAACGTAATCATAGGTTTGAACGTTGTTTTCAATTTAGACTTGTTTATATTTTATCGTTTGGGATTTTATTATATTTGCCTTCTGGTTTATATGATCCGTTCATCCTCTTTTGACTCTTTCAAAATTCAAGAGTCTATCCGAAATTGAGGTAAATTATATGGCCTTCCAAATACCGTTTCGATTTCTAACATCACTGAGGAGACATTAATTGTCGAAATCCGGATATGGTGTACAGATTTTTGCACCTCATGTTTGCGGTATACCATCTTTTCCGCAAGTTAATTGTTTTCTGTTTGGTAATCAATTAATAATAAGATCTATTTTGTTAAATCTTGTGATCCGTTTATTTGGCAATCGCCAATGGCAGTCAGTAGGGTTTAAAAACATCAGTTGTTCGACCTGCTAGTCAAATGTGTTTTGTTAAAATATACTTTTTCACTCATTTGGTCTTTTGGAAAATATTGTTTGTGCTGTATTTAGACCCCTTTACCAAGAAATATGTTTTGCATGCACACGTATAATAATTGCGGTTTTTATCCAACGCAAACATAGGTTTTGAACGTTGTTTTCAATTTAGACATGTTTATATTTTTTCGTTTGGGATTTTATTATATTTGCCTTCTGGTTTATGTGATCCGTTCATCCTCTTTTGACTCTTTCAAAATTCAAGAGTCTATCCTAAATTGAGGTAAATTATATGGCCTTCCAAATACCGTTTCGATTTCTAACATCACCGAAGAGCTTTAATTGTCGAAATCAGGATATGGTGTACAAATTTTCGCACCTCATGTTTGCGGTATACCATCTTGTCCGCAAGTTTATTGTTTTCTGTTTTGTAATAAATTAATAATAAGATCTATTTTGTTACATCTTGTGTTCCGTTTATTTGGCAATCACCAATGGCAGTCAGCAGGGTTTAAGAACATTAGTTGTTCGACTTGCTAGTCAAATGCGTTTTGTTAAAATATACTTTTTCACTCATTTGGTCGTTTGGAAAATGTTGTTTGTGCTGTATTTAGACCCCTTTACCAAGAAATATGTTTTGCATGCACACGTATAAAAAATGCGGTGTTTATCAAACGCAATCATAGGATTGAACGTTGTTTTCAATTTAGACATGTTTATATTTTTTCGTTTGGGCTTGTATTATATTTGCCTTCGAATTTATATGATCCGTTCAGTCTATTTTGACTCTTTCAATGTTCGAGAGTCTATCCTAAATTGAGGTAAATTATATGGCCTTCCAAATACCGTTTCGATTCTAAACATCACTGAAGAGACATTAATTGTCGAAATCCGGATATGGTGTACAAATTTTTGCACCTCATGTTTGCGGTATACCATCTTTTCCAAAAAATGACAATAAACGAACAAATGTTACTATAAATATTTCAGATAACAGATATCCTTCATCAGTATGAGCAGGATGTAAAATGAATCAGATCAATCTATTCTGATGATTAGACTATAACAAATGTATTAGCGTCTCTCCATATGATGTTCGGATGAAACTGTTTTACTTTTTTTATTGTATAGAATTCAAAATTACTATAGACCTGAATGGCTCAAAATAAGGTTACAACTAAAAGTTCGATTGAAAGATCAACACACATAATTTTGAACTTAAACAACAGTAAATTTGATAGCAAACAGACCTTATATTTGTAACATTCTTGAACATTATATTTTCGAAACCAAATACGAAATGTCTTCAATGAAGACTCAGTCTAATTATTTCAGATACAAAGTATTAACTTATAAGAGGCTAACAGGCAGTTTGATTCACATCATTACAAAAGTGTTGACGATTTTGACGGTCTTAGAAATAGTCAGAATGAATATTTAATATTTTCAACAGGAGAATATTTCAAGTCAGGAATATGACAGTTGTTGTCCATTCGTTTGATGTGTTTGTGCTTTTGATTTTTCCATTTGATTAGGGACTTTCCGTTTTGAATTTTCCTCGGAGTTCAGTATTTTTGTGATTTAACTTTTTTGACAGCAAAACATTTAATTACCTAATCAATGGAAATACAATTAATGATCAAGACAATTATACACATATTACCAAAAAATTAATAAATTAAATCGATCCGACATTTGCAAGATCTCACGCCATGGGTTTGGTATTCAAAATATAGTACCACGTGGTCGGCTAAATATCTCTCAAAGCGGCACCATTACACAATATATAAGTCATTATGTAGATTATTTTCTTGTGTCTATCGTTCAAAAACAAGAAATAAACAGACAGGACACATCTGATTTTATACACATATTGGAAACGATTTAACCACAAGTTAATTATCTGCTGTGAAGTTTTAATATAATGTAGGCCAAATATTACAAATTGTCCGATTGATGAAATATTATCTGTAGTGAGAATTGCCTACAATAATTTATAATTTTGACAATTTTGACCCACAAATTATCGACTACACCTTCTTGGAACTATTCTCGCAATATTTTTCTTGAATTTAATGGACTATATTGAAATGTATTTGTGAAGGTATTTGAGCTTGCTGCTCCCCAGAATGTTGTAATATCTTACTGTACAATATTACAAAAGAGGTTCAAAAGAGAACAATATATTTTATTATGTCAAAAACATGGACGATGGTATAAGTAGTTACTATGGGAACAAGCAAGAGTTGATTACAAGCTCTTCAAATTCACATATGAAATTACAACTGCCAAAACCACATACCCAGATTTCAATTTATTTAAAGGGAGAACATTTCTCAATAAAACATTTTGGATTTGAAAACACATCTTAAGCCCACCAACTTAAAACATCTAAATCGGAACAGTTGTCACATTAGACGTGTGTTTTCCGACTTTATCAATGGTGAGGTAATACGATAATCAGAAAAAATAATAATATAGACGATTAAAAACAAATTCTTTCATCGTTCAAATTGAAATTGATCATTGGGGAGTACAAGGAGAAAAAGACAAAAGTTTTGTATAAATGAGGCAATAATAAGAATTGGAAAAATCTTCTCTAATGAGAACCGATTCTGAAAGACAACTAAAATAAAATTCCTTTTTTTATGTCAACCGGAGACAGTTATTCATAGAGAAACCAGCTACAGCATAAAAAGGCACAAAACATTAGCAGATTTGCTGACATCAATTTTACTGAGAAATTAAAAAATATAGGACACTCCCAGCTGATGATGGCGGGTCTAAATTTTAAACACATTAAAAAATCTATAAAAATGCCAACGAAAGTTCAAACCCTAGATTAGCGTAAGACTGATGCAAATAATTTTAAAAATTTATCCAGTCAGTTCCAATATTTTAGAGAATACAATTATACCCTAAAAATGAAGCATATTCATTCAACAATTTATCGAAACAAAGGTTGATACGAATTATACATGTTATACAAAGATATTGGAAAACGTGGATGGTGTGTTCAATTTGAATGTACAAATGGTAAAACTCAGTTAATATCCGAATAATTAACATTTACCTCGCTCTCTTTCAAAGGTAACACCTGCCTCATTTTTTTCATCAATAATAAGTTTTTACTTATCTTTTCCCAGTCACGATGCTTTATTGTCAATTGTGAAATCGTATTTTCCGTCTAGGAACTTAATCTCTTCCAAAGGAATTTATTTTTTTTCCTAGATGAAAACAAAGTACATGGAATATCACACATTGAACCTCTTTTAGCCTTAGCGTCTACGTTTTTTTCTTTTCAAAATAATTATCTGTCATTTATCTTGAAAACGTTCCATTTATTTTCAAAATATGGCTAACTTTACATGATATAAAATAGTTTAAAGGTGCAAAAATATATCAATGCACTTCACTTGAATTACATTTACAAATATTTAACATGGAAGGTAACTGTATAATAAGCCACAAGATAGCTACATTTTTTTATGTTCTCTTCTTAATACGTTTCATTTGTTTTCGTTGTGAATTAAGATTTGTTTATATTAGGATATTAGGTAGTCCGATGTTTGGTTTTTAATTAACTTATTAACTCTTACTTGAGATCTAGAATATGAATCAAATCAGATGAAAATTTATGCCATCTTTGTTGGATATGATTTGCAATAATGAACGTGATCAATCTTACATAAAAACATGTCAGCCATGTAATAAAAGTTCAAAAACATTTAAATATGATGTTTACTTTTGCACCAAGAGCTCCAAATGGTTAAGTTAAAGACATTCCTTCAAATTTATGGACGCCATCATCATTTGGTTGACTATTATGGCATTGTGTAGTCACAAATGGTCATGGCTGCATATGTACAATTTACAAAACGTCACTTTTAACCAAAAGTGATAACCCGATCATAGAAAGATATTAAGATTTTAATTATTATTATTTCAGATAACACAGTGCATCAGTTGATATGCCCACTTAATAAAACAATATACATAAACTCAGCAGCTGGAGAAATTTTCAACATTAGTGAAGTTGCGTCAGTTACATCTTCAGATTCTGAGTTGACCTTTGCATTTAGTCCTGCAGAATTAATTACCTTGGATCATACAGCAATGTTAGAGCAGAAGAAAATAGTTGTTACTGCAACTAATAAGTGGGGAGCTGAGGACCAATGTTCATTTTTTGTAGAAACAAAAGGTAAAGTTTAAGGACATCCTGTGCAGACGAAAGAAAATAAAATGATTGTTATTGCATAATGTAAAACCTTTAAAGATAATCATACTCCCCTTGCATGTATATAGGCTTGTTAATGTATGTACTTACCTTTTGGATAGATAAAGATGACAAGTTAAAGTGATAACAGATTTATATGTGACTTTGGTATTGACGGTTTGATACAATCACTAGAATTCATCGTTTTAATCACATGTCATAAGGAAGAGGTATTTTTGTGCTTTTCAAGCGGCTCCGGAGTCGGAGGTTTACCTTACAAATAACTGATCGAAGAAAACAACGTTCTGCACCCTTTGTAACTCAAACACGTTTAGTTTGTTCTTCCGCAAAAATTATTGAATTAGACATTTAAAAGAGTCAAATTACTTAAAAAAAAGGTTTTCACAATCAAACCCATTTTCAAAATGTCCAATCTTTACTCAACAAAACACCGTCTTTGAGAAAACTATCAACCTGAGGCACACCATTTAATTTTTTCTGTAGGAGAGAATTCCCTTCATTGCCATCTCGGAAAAAATACAGTGTTGTGATTTATAATAAACTTTGATCTAAATCAGCCAAATAAATATCTGGATACGATTGATGATAGTTTATATTTCAATGTCATAATTTTTATACCATTACCACCATTTTTCTTTTAAACTACTAGATGGAATGTAATAACATTTTACAGAAGTCAAGTGTACTTAAATTGATTTTCTGGGTAAGAAAAACGTTTCAGTAGGTTATATCGTATGTCATTTCATGACGATTTTCATTCTCAGAAGTTGGAAAGATAACGGTGAAAGATACAAAAGGGATGTTTAAACTCACGAGTGTATAACAAACTGACAAACCCCTGCCAAAAAAAAAAAAAGACAAGCAGTCTTCAAAAGACAACAGAAAAAAAATCAGACATAAACTTTCACCGTTCGAATCATCATCTAGCTTAAGAAAAAAAAATCAGCAAATCGAACTGCATTATAACTATGCAAAAAATACAGATTTAAAGACAAAAGACAAGAGTGAATGTTTCATTTGTTTTATTTTTTGATTCACATGTCCAAATATCATGGGGCAAATAAGGTCAGATGCCTTAGAGAATAGTGTCTTCACTCCACAGCCATTTAGTTATTTAATTAAAATAAACTAAAACTATCTCATTATAAATGAACATATTAAATGATCCGTTACTGCAGAAGTAATAGTACTATTTTTTGTTCGTCTGTACCTCTGTCTATGACATACTTATTATTGTGTTAATCTCTTTACCATGTCTACCAACAATATGATTACGCGATTCTTGCAGAAGCTATTCGACTTTATATAAATAAGGGTTTATGGTATGATTGCCACATGTGGCATTGAGAAATATCCACGTAAGATCAAAAGACAACAATATGAACATCTTACTGTCACTTTATCGCTTCCAACACTGAGGAAAACTCATTCTGTAAAGCAAACTAAACAAGCAAAAGCAATGACATACTGTGAAACAATAAAAAAATATAACCAACTGCCTTATTCATATCAAATCAAATAACTAATCATCATGACAGACAGCAATCAAAACAAACTACTGAATGACCGGCTCCTGGCTTGGGACAGCCAAATGAAGAATGTGGCAGAGTTTATTGTCTGTTGACTTCTATAAATTTGCAGAAAAAATTTCTTAAAATCCTTTTTTTTTTGTGATATAGTTAAATACAATACAATCATATACGACTCGTGAAAAAAAGGGTTTCTTTGATATCACAACGGTGCGCAGAAATATAACCTTCTTCCAAGAATTGGGACTAATTTGAAATCGTGTTTCCTGCAAACTGTGTGATGTAAAGCGATAAAGAATATGTTTGAGTGTCGAGTTTATGTTGAACACGCTAAAACACGTTTAAAACATTAAGAATCGTCGGAAATTTGTGTAGACATCCATGACACGAATTGGATCAATTTTAAATTGTATACTGGACTTGTGTTGAAAGACAAACTGTGTTATTTAATTTTTAAACATGTTCCACTTTTTATCATTCAATGTACATTATTTAGATCTGTGGCTGTAAAATACACCTTCCCCATTTGTTCTCTTTTTACTATATCTTTATACCTATTTTGTTTTTGCAGTCCTAAATCAAACAAATACAACTAGATAAATAAATATCTATGGAAATTTCCATATGCATGCACGTCTTAAAATTTCGATTTTTTGTTCGTTATATATTGTATCCCATTTTTAGACGCTCTATTTAATCTGAAAAACACAAAATATGACCATACAACAAGTTTTTACGATTTTACAAGAAATTGCAAATATTTAGTAATTAAAAATATCTCAATCAGAAATATTTGTTTCTCAACATTGTCTGTTTGGTGTCCGCTCGATTGTCCCACTTTCTAAAATTAATGAAATTATGGGGGACAATAAGGGTAGAATTTAATTGGACAATTGTGAAAATAAATGTTGGCTATTCGGGAGTTGTTTAGATAGTAATTTGTTTGTGTTATTATAGGTGCGCAAAGTATACGAGAGACAAATTGGAAAATTATTGCTCGAAGCGTAATTTTTCCACAATAAACTGATCCTTTGTCCCGTTGGTATCTTTCGCCTCTCTTTGTATTGAAAAACCTGAAGATTATAAAAGCCTTTTTCTTAAGTTAGAATACATTAACATAGGTATTGAATTGATTAATTTGCATTGTCAAGTATTTTTCTTATGACTTTACCGTATAAAACTTTATACAAGTTTCCTATTTTGAAAACATTAAGCAATTTATAATTTCTGATACTTAAACAAAAAATCAGTGCAATTTTAATTTTTAACTATACGTCACAAACATCAGACGTCAATATAGAAAACAATGTTAATTTAACACGAAACCGTAAAACATCGAATTTTAGATATAGTCCATATGGCCATGCAATTACAAATTACTTAAACACCAAATTAGTAGATAATTATCGTGTGTTGTTGCCAATTGGGGTTTTACTTTTTAATTTGATATGTTTAAGACAGAAACAATCCTTTCCTTTGTTTTGTAGACGGATATACTAAAAAAAAACGTCGTCGACGCAAATTTTTACTTTCGAAACACATAATGTAAAAGTGTGTTAATTTATTGCTGCAATAAAGGAACATTATGTGAAATGAATTTAATCATGCAAAACCTTTTATAACACTTTTGAAATAAACCAGATTTAACACATTCGTGTGTATGATATTGAAAATCGTATTGATTCACATTGGAATTTGGATATTGGAAATCATGAAACATACCTATGGATATTCGTTTTTCGTTTTTCGTGTTACATATATATGTATCACGATGTCGTGCTCTCTTCGTGTCAGTTCTTATTTTTTTTATATTTATATATACCTTTTCTATTAAATAATCAAATTACCAAATATTTTTATCTTCTATAGAATAACAGCCACGTACTTTATGATGAGTTGTGTGTGGAGGTGTAATATTTAATCCTGATTCTGAGTTTAATAAAAAAAATTGTATTGCCATTCAAAAGAGGGAAAACAATTATTCTGAATAGTTCGTCATAAATTGTTGAAAACATAACCTCCTTTTCCGCGATAAAAATGTCATGCAAAACAGAAGAAAAAGACATGTCATCCCTTTTTCATAAACTAAAATGATACTATACATTACTTTCAAAGTAACTTGTATTTTTCATACACTCAACAATTCATTTGTGCCTTGCTTAATAGTTACACTCATATTTGTATTGTAACTGGAAAATAATTTCTAAAGTTTGTATCTAGATAAATTAGTGAGTTTTATTTCACATTATACCTGAGCCGTTGGGCGTATTCAAACGCATCAGAAAATAATATCCCACTGTAGTGTAGTCGGTAAAATAGGATGCAAATCCTGCAAATCTGTTCAGAAAATAATATTTTTTGACGGTATATAAGTCAGATAATGCATATTTAAGGGGTTTTCTTGTCGTATAACACACCTCCGAAATTGTCCAAAAAGAAAGACCTTCATACGGTTGGTCTTTCATTTGATCAACCCTCGGTGTGTTATACGACAGGAAAAACATTAACATATACATTATCTATAACGTAAATATTGGTATAAAAGGGAGAAATCTGCAAAAACACTTGATTCTTATAGGTAGATAATTTAGAAATTGATAAAATAGTATACACGTACATGTAAATAAAACGCCCATTTCTAGGATACTCAAGTACTCGTAAAGCGTTTTGTTTTCGTACCGGCCAACAATGTGATAGTGGTATGACTAAAATACTACTAGGAAGTTCTTAAGAATGAAATTATAAATTCGTTTAGATTCAAGGTCATGCACTGCTTATTAATGAAATTATAAAATTCTTCTACATTCAAGACCGTCTCCACAGAGAGTCAAATAGTAAATAATCATGTCACTACCACATCTCAGCTTAAGGGCCCTTCTGAATATTTAAAGGTTCCTACTATGTATTGGCTACCTAAAAAGTAAAATAACAAAAATACCGAACTCCAAGGAAAATTCAAAACGGAACGTCCCTTATCAAATGGCAAAATCAAAAGCTCATACACATCAAACGAATGGAAAATATATCTGACTTGGTACAGGCATTTCCTTTTGTAGAAAATGTCGGATTAATTCTAGTTTCTAGCTAGCTAAACCTCTCACTTGTAAGACAGTGTAATACACAAAAGCTCTTCGAATATCGTTTCATCTCTGCTTCTACGGCTACCTTTTTTTTTGTGCTGTTAACTAGTTCCCTTACTTCTACTACACAACTTGTTTATATTTTTTGTAATAAAGCATATGAAAATAAGGATATTAATTATATTTGGAGTTTCAAAAACTGTGTGGATGTTTTTGATAAATTACGTGCTTTTGATGGTCCGTTCAATTTTGTTGACATTTATGACTTATCGACTTTATACACTTTACTTTCGCACAATCTTATCAGACAGGCGTTTTTTTTTATTTGATTAAATGTTCCTTTGAAAAATCGGATTGAAAATTTATTTGCTGCAACTCATATTAAGCCTTCTTTTGTTATAAAAAATGGAAATATGCTAAATACACTTACTGGAACTATAATAAGTTGATTAAAGCTGTACATTTTCTCCTTAACAATAACGTGTACGTTTTGGCAATACAGTTTATCGACAGGTTCTAGGCATTCCTATCGGCACCAATTGCGCCCCTTTAATAGTAGACTTGTTCTTGTATTGTTATGAATACACAGTTAATGTCCAAACTCGTATCACCAGCCTAGTGGTCAGCACTTCTGTGTTGACATGAATTGTCATTGATATGGTAATAATCATAAATCAACTGTTGATAAAACAATGAGTATTTCGAAATACTAAGGATTTTCTACCTCAGGAATAGATTACTTTTGCAAAACCTTTCGGAATTTTTGGTCGTCTATGCTCTTCATCTTTGTACTTTATTTAGTTGTTTCTTTTTATTCTAGCGTCACTTATGAGTCTTTTGTAGACAAAAAGCGTGTCTAGCGTACACAATTTTAATCCTGGTATCTATGATGAGTTTATCAGTAAAGATCCGCCTAAATCAATTGATAAATTTAAAAACGCTCAGCGTTATCTTGATTATATTTTTGCTTTCTATAATGTGGAATTTTTCTAATTTTACAGGGGAAATTTACCCAAAGAGGGAACAAACTTTAAATAAATCTAACTGATATCAGATATTGCGCTAGCGGGATATTAAGTTATATTGGTCGCTGAACGGTCAAGGAGTCATAGCAAAGTCATGCTATCAATAACTTTAATGCAAACTTCGGATGGCAATTAATGAACAAAATCAAAATAAATATCTGTATGTATCCCTAAATGATTGGTATCATTGTTTATCCATTGGAAAATCGTGAATTCTATGTCAGTTCATGCTATAAAATGATATTGTTGATTTAAATTTATAGTATGAAAAACGTTTGAATGTGATTATTCAGAAGTCAGGATTGTGACAGGGATTTTCTGTGTGAATTTGATTTGCGAATTTGAAAATAATCTCTAATATACTTTTAATTTTCTGTTCTACAAGATGACATATTTTGTATGTGTAATTATATATCCTTTTATTCAAAGTACTTGAAATTAGCAGCTGTGAGATAATCAGCTACTGTTACAACTGTCAAGTAATCTGGTCAGATTAAAATGTCCAAACCACCTGCGAATAAGCAAATAAAAAAAAAACGTACGTCCTGGATTTAATTCAGCAATTTTTTTTTAGACCTTTATATTTTATACGATTTTATCTAAGCGCTGCTAGCCTAGAGTATTACATTTACTATATTTGTTACAGTAAATTTGTATAACTAGGGATAATGTTCAACAAATGATTAATCACTAGTGAATTTAAGGATTATTTATAGTCACTAAAAGTTGGAGGAATTATGCATTATTCCTAGATAAAATGCCAGGAATTATCCATAATGACTAGATAAAATGCCAGGGATTATACATAATATCTGGATGGAAGAGACAGTTTATTTTATAAAAAAAAAGAATAAAAGTTAAATAATTCATTCCATAATTCATTTTAAAACATATTTACAAACGTAAACATGATAAATATTAAAATATTTAACGTAATATTCTAAAACAAATTATCTTTTTTTTACAAACTAAATTTTGATAAGATCTACTATCATGAAAGATTTGCCCTGATTTTCTCACATCCGTTTTTGCCACAACATCTCAATTTTAAGAAACCCTTTCCTTCAAATGTTCAATTTGATTTTGCCGCGCGTCAAACAGAAATAAAGTTTGAGTATAAAAAAAGTTGCCAATTAAAGACTATAAGCTACCACCAATTTATTCTATGTGTAGGATACACACTACACTTCATGTTTCGAAGCCAGGCATATACTGTTTTCAGTCTTTTCATGAACGATGAACATTATATTTTTGGGCTCACTATTTTCGAGATCAACATGCGGAATCTGTATCAAAACATTACAGCCATTGTAGACCTTCTCGAATATTTTGTTCGATCTTTCAAACATGCGCTCTGCATATTTAGTTGCATTAGCTTTCTCCGTTTGAATTCCTTGTGAATTGGATCAAAGAAAACATTAACATACAGACAATGCATGTACATTTGACACTGTCTTTTGGCCAACAATGCATTTACAATTATCACTATCAATGAGATTATTTGTATTATTAATTTGAATTGAAAATAAAATATCTACCCATCACCGGAAAAACTATTCACTGAAGATTTGACAAATGAATAGGAAATCAAAATTGTTAAAGAAGTACAGATGATTTATTAGCCTAACACAAGAGATGATTTATTAGTCTAACATAAGCTGCGTCAGATAGAAATCGACATTATGCAAATGAATACATGTATCAATACATTAGTTACCCTATTTTCAGTTGAAAAAGATCTCTTCTTAAAGTTTGTAACTGTTTGAAAATTGAATTCTTATAAAAACCATACAAAACAGACCAAAATTCAGCTTTTGTTTCGCATTTGAATGTTCCATAATCAATCACATGCTTATACAGGCACTTGTATACGTGCACTTGCATCTCACATCACATTAGGGAATTTAGTTGTAATAGTTCTTGATCATTTTCGGGGATTATATATAATCACTGATGATTTAAGTGATTATGCAGAGTCCCTGAAAATTAGAGATTCTAAATTATCCCTGAGTATACAGATTCACTGTTACATATGTATGTCATATTTTCAACACAGTCACACATTTTATTTCACCATAACAAAGTAAACCTTTTGTATTTATTTGGCCTACTTTAAATAGATTTAATTGATATCGTCCCTTAATGAAAAAGTAACAATTTACATGGTTAAAATTGTATGTAACTGATGCTTTATTGAACAGGACAATAGCTATTGTATTTATTCAATTGGACAATAGAACTAACAAAAGTGTAAATAAATTGACCAATAGGAGATGACTCTGTGGAAAAATTTGATTTGGTTCGCAATAAATGCTGTGAAACATTAAAAAATTGTATAATTTAGCTAACAACCAATTATTCATATCTTACATTTTTTCTCTAGCTGTTGCATGTTTTAGAGAGTCTTTCCCAGTAAGTGTGCCAAATGCTACACCTCTGTTTTGTACTTCTGGCAACATCAGCTGCACAGTTACATGTAATAGTGGATTTGTGTTCTTTGATGGCAACCAAACAAAGACATATGACTGCACAGAACAAAATATGTGGCTGCCGGCTTTACCTCCTGATACATGCATAAGTATGTTAATATTATATAGTTACCTGAATTATACTTCATTTAGAAACTAATTGTCTTGCTATTACTTACAAAAATTTGGAAAAAAGTGAAATTTCCCATACGTTTTTAGTATTATATGTTTTTTTGTCGCACCTGCATCTAAGAGACATAGGGTAAACGTTTAAGTTTGATGTAGTTCCTGCATACATGAACATGAAAATTATTACACATGCTCAATATGAGGTCAACCTTTTAATAGATATGCAAATTTGGGGTTTTGACCCTGAGTTAAAGGTTCTATGAACAAGGAAATGTGATAGGTTAAAGCTGTGAATTAAGGTTTGAGGAAAATTTGACTGTTCTCTGAACATGGAAATGTGATATTGGGAGCATGTCATATTGTCATTCATTTATTAAGGAAAATGTCTTCAAACATTGTCAAATTACCACATTTTGAAATCTTGTCAATATGTCCTTTCCATTTTCCAGTTCACAACATAATATAAAAATATCATCACACATAACACCAATCTTTATGATGTGAAAACGAGCGACCTTACGTTGTTTTTGTAATGAAAATTATTGTTAAGCAACACTTTCGCTCTAGTTTGCCTTCGATTATATAACTTTTGTTTTGCTTCTTTTTAGTACTCTATTTAGACCGAGAGTAAACTTGCAACTTATGAAACATTTTTTCTTTAATAGATGAAAGATGTAGGGATATAAGAAGGCAACAGTAGTATACCGCTGTTCAATAGTCATAATTCGATTAAGCAAAAACAAATACGGGTAACAAACTAAAACCAAGGGACACACATCAACTATAAGAGGAAAACAAAGAAACAACAAAAACACTGAACTACAACAAAAGCAAACGCCAACATTCATAGAAACGGACGGTAGATAACAACTGCCATATTTCTGACTTGTTACAGGACATGTTAAGAAAAAAATGGTGGGTTAAACCTGGTTTCATGGCTAGCCAAATTTACCGCTTATATGGCAATGTTAAAAATATCGCTAAATGACAACATTTCGTGACAGGAATACGGTACAAACAAACGCCAGAACACTCAGCACAGAGAAATACATAAATAAATAATATAATAGTACATTACAACATGTTAACCGCAGAATTACAACGGACACCTCCGATGAATTTACGACAGCACACCAGGACACCACAAATGGAATATAAACTGCGCGTCACATGAATGGATCATCGTCACAAAAAGTGACGTAATTTTTGTGACGATTATATTATCAGAAGTAAATTTCTGAAAAAAGACACGTACTGGAATTATTGTGTTTTTAATGGTGTTATTATTTGTATTATATAGTTGCTTTAAACTTAAAATCATATAAATGAAGTAGCTGAGTTTTCTTGACTTTTACATACATATAGAAAAACATTTAAATGCATATTTTCCTCTTTTAAATATCGATTATGATATAATAAATCATTAAGAGCATTTTGAACAAATGTAAAGTTTTCACCTTCCAAGTTTAATGCTGAATATTTATTTACATGGCCCTTGAATTTACAGTTTCGAAATTAAAATGTGGTAAGAACATTGTTTTTGTTAAATAATATGTAATTTTGAGAACATGTTTTTGCGCTAGAATTTCAACAAAATATTGATATTTATGTGAAAATGATTCGAAGTACTTCTATAAGTTTGTAAACTTATTGTTAGAAATCACTTATTTTGAGAAGGATTTTCTTGTTTTAGAATTTCAAAGAAAATTGATCAATAGGTATGATTGCACTCCAGATTCAACTTTTCAAAATTGTTGCAAAAATCAATTTTTGTTAAAAGCTAAAATTTTAGAAACATCAGTTTTAGGGTTTCAGTGAAAATCAATATTGGGGCATTCTATTCTTTTAAAAATCGATTTCTGGAGACGAAAAAACAAATTATGTTTGGCCACAATTTTTGAAATTACTACAAAAAAATATAGTGTTTGGATTTTTACTAATCTTTACTTAAAGATTACATGTCTTGAAATAATTCCTCGTGTCAAAAATTACTAAAAGTTCATATCCAATTATATAAAAATATCTTTTAATGAGATGTGGTTGATTGCTGATGAGACAACTATCTTGCTGTGTTTACATCAGCAAATTTATTTTTGTGTGTGTCTTGAACAAAAATTTGCAAATAAACTCATCATAGATACCAGGATTGAAATTCTATATTTGCGCCAGACGCGCGTTTTGTCTACAAAAGACTCATCAGTGACGCTCGAATCAAAAAATGTTAAAAAGGCAAAATAAAGTACGAAGTTGAAGACAATTCCTAAAAGTTTTGCCAAATACAGCTAAGGTAATCTATTCCTGAGGTAGACGAGCCTTAGTATTTCAAAAATTCTGAGTTTGGTAAACAGTTAATTTATAATTATGAGCATATCAATGATAACTCAAGTCAACACAGAAGTGCTGTCTTCTGGGCTGGTGATACCCTCGGGGAATTAAAACTCCACCAGTAGTGGCATCGACCCAGTGGTTGTAAATAAACTCATCATAGATACCAGGAATGAAATTCTATAGTTGCTCCAAGCAGAACCCTTTCTGACATGACAGTTTTCTAGCTAGTTCCTCTTATCATATCACTTCCCTTATTCAATATAAACAATATTCTATCCATGTTTTACTTTTACTTTACTAAACTAGAATACATGGTTGTAGGTATCTTTAAATGGTTTTGATTAGAATATGAGTAACAAGAAATTATAAAATAAAACTTGGATATCCTTAACATGAAATATACCAGTAATTGACATTACATATCTATTTTTCAGAGTATGATGAACCATCCTACATTATAGTACTTCAAGTGGTCTATACAACTTATCAAAATCAAGTGTTCGCTAAAGACTGTAAATCAGGTCATGATGATAAAATCAAATCAAATAATGCATCATTAACAAATGAGATTTACAACATATGTAATAATATCGTTGTATCTGCTGGTCCAGTTGTAATAACAAATACTCAGACTATTACTACAGGATTTGATGTAAGATATAGTTATGTACATGTATAGTTCCTAATATGATATCATTGTCTCTTTAATAAAGAATATAATTTAATAATTAAATTTTTTGATAAATTCTCATTTTTAGCTCAGGTGGCCAAATCGCCAAGTGAATTTTTCTCATTACTTAGCTTCCGTCGTCTGTCACCCGTCGTCGTCCGACGTCTCCGTCGTCGTCCGATAACTTTTACAAAAATCTTCCCTGAAACTTTTGGGCCAGATTTAACCAAACTAGGCCACACACATTATCAGGGTATCTCGTTTAAAAATGTGTCCGATGACCCCGCCTGTCAACTAAGATAGCCGACATGGCTAAAAATAGAACATAAGTGGTAAAATGCAATTTTGCCTATCATATCGAAAACCGCTATGAAAAGATAACATCTTTCAGTGGCAAAAATGTTCAGAATGTAGAGCTATTGTTCATTTATGTCAAAACTGTCAGACGAAATCTAACGGGAGTTATTGCCCTCAAATGACGAATTTTACCATTTTAAAAAGAATTTAGCCTTTTACCTTGAAAATATATAATAAATAGACTGACAGAAACTTTGAAAAGCAACAATGATCAACATGGCAAGATCCACAAATAAGTCAACATGAGCAAAATCGTCAGACGACTCCTTATTAGAGTTATAGCTCTTTAATGACAATTTTTGCCAATTTGTTCTCTTTTTCCTTAATACCTTAAAGCTAAAATAGATAGATTGAAACTTTAAAAAGCAAAAATGATCAGCCAGATAAGATCTACAAATAAGTCAACATAAATTGAACCGTTAGTCTACTCCTTATTGAAGTTATTGCCATTTAATAAACGTTTTCACCATTTTTGTCCATTATCTTGAAAACTGTAATAGATTAAAACTTTAAATAGCCAAAAACGATCAGCAAGACAAGATCTACAAATAAGCCAGACTGGTCGAAATCTTCGTTTGGAGGACGTGTTTTTCAACAAACAATCGGCATTCCCATGGGAACCAATTGCGCTTCTCTTCTTGCCTACATGTACTTGTTCCTTTATTCATATGAAGCTGATTTCATACAGGAACTCCTTAGGAAGAAAGAAAGAAGTTAGCAGTATCCTTTATCTTTACTTTTCGCTATAAAAATGATGTTCTCTCACTAAATAACTCATAATTTGGTGACTATGTTGAACGCATCTATCCCATCGAACTTGAGATAAAAGATGTAACAGATACAGTTAAGTCTGCCCATATCTTGACTTACATCTCATAATTGACAATAAGTACCGGTTGAAAACAAAACTTTTCGACAAAAGGGATGATTTTAGCTTCCCAATCGTGAACTTTCCATTTCTATGTAGCAACATTCCAGCAGCGCCTGCATATGCAGTATATATCTCCCAGTTGATACGATATTCGAGGGCTTGTATTTCCTATCATGATTTCCTTGATAGAGGGTTGCTGCTCAGGAGAAATCTATTATACCAAAAGTTCCAAATGGTGAAGTTGAAGTCAGCCCTTCGTGAATTTTACAGACGCCATCACAAGTTGGTTGACCGTTATGGAATATCCTTTTCACAGATGATAGCGAATGTTCCAATTGTCGTAACTACAATCCAGTCGCCCTTTCCCCGATGATGACCTACCGGATTAGACTTATTACCGGGTTGGTACTAACATGAGCAACGACGGGTGCCACATGTGGAACAGGATCTGCTTACCCTTCCGAAACACCTGAGATCACCCCCAGTTTTTGGTGGGGTTCGTGTTGCTCAGTCTTTAGTTTTCTATGTTGTGTTTTGTAATGTTGTTTGTTTGTTGGTCTTTTTCCTAGAAAGGAACATCTTAAGTTTTAAGACCATTGATAATCTGTTTTTCACTGTTTTCCTAGGCAATGACATAGACTCATGACGTCATACATTCTCTTTAAGCACGACTGAGAAAATCCCATATCACTTGGGTAGCATGAATATGAAAAATTATCACAAAAAAAAATAAGCAAATATATAGAAAATAATGATAAACATCTTATATTATTTTTGGAAAAAATAGAACAATTAAAACTAATTTCAAAGTCGTTGGTCTTTTTACATGCTTTGCCAAAGGCAAGTCTAGTAACTGCTCCACTCCGTCTATCTGTCCGCCCGAAATACCTTGGGCAGGAAACTTTAGTCAAAGTTTTCGTGGCTTCTATGAAATGGAATGATTGAATATTTGGTCTCCAGATAGTAAGCATTTTTCAAATCCACCGTGCATTTACCTCATGTTTGCAGATAGTTTTCTGTAACGAAAATTTCCGTGAAACTTTTCTTGGCTCCTTTGGAAGGTAATGCTTTTATCTTTGGTCTGCATATTGATAGTGTTGATTTGTAGCCAGTAAGCTATTTGTACATCCACTGTTAAACCACTTCCTGTTTGCCTATAATTAGAAATTTTACAACACTCATTGTACAAGGAAAATGTTCGTCAAAGTTTTTTTGGCTTGTATGAAGGGTAATAATTTCATATTTGGGTTGTAGCTTTATAATAATGAGTTGAGAGTGAAGGCAATTTTTACATCTGCAGTGCAGCCACTTCCTGTTTGCGATAATTTGAAATTTTACAACACTCATTGCACAATAAATAACGTGTAACGTCTTGTATTTATGCCAATCAAATTTATGGGTTTTATTATGATTATGATTTTATTTGTTTTGCAGTTAAGAACTATGTTTACAATTAAACTGCCTTCCACTGATCCAGACCAAATTAGTCAAAAGACAACTTGTGGAATTCTTCTAGTAAACCAAATGAACAGAACTGATTTCTTAGATTATACTGGCATTGCACAGTGTAGCAGTGACACAGCAACTGTTGTCAGACACACGCGAGATAATTCAAACAAGGTGATAAGCAGTGGAAATCAGTGTGATAATGGAATCAAGAAAATGACAACAGTTGACAGTAGTTCAAAATGCAGTAAGAATTTCAGATTATTTGGTCTGGGCGGCAAAGATTAGACACCTTTCTGAATTAATTTTTTTGTCGTTTTGAAAACTTGAAAGTTCAGTAATATTTGAAATTCACATTTGAGGTATTGATATGAAACAATTATACAACTGTCCAAGAAATGTGTTCATTTCTGATACAAATGTTCATTGCTGACACCATTGAATCAACTTGGTTTTTATAATAGAAAATAGTAATATTTCTGAATGACTTATAAATCGTATCATTCAAATAAACTATGATAACATTTCCGGTAGCTTGGAAATTCGGTCTTACACACTTAGAAGTTTAAAAATTATTAAAATATTTACAAGTCTTGCCTTTTGTGGTAGCCATGTCTATCATTTAATTTAGATATAATTGAAAAATAAATATTTGTTTTATTTGTATTTGGTTTATTTTGCAGTTCCATGTCCTCCAGGAACATATTCTATAGGTGGTAATGCTTGTAATGTTTGTCCAGATGAAAGGTTCCAGAGTAACTTTGGTCAGACTGAATGTTTGGTCTGCCCTTCAGACAATCCTGTTCCATCAGAGGACAAAACTTCATGTTTAGGTGCGTAACTAATCCAGATTAACTGCTTACATAAATAACTTTACACAGATGTATCAGGAAAGGGACCTCATTTCCACGATTCATTGGTTAATATTAAGCTTTCATTGTTATGTCTGTTTCTGAGATATAAAAATGTACTATAAGAAAGAGGTCCAGTATATTTGGTGTATTGAATGATTGCATGGTTTACATGTTGTCTGGCAGGGGTTCTTCTGACATTGACCTCATCAAAATGCATCATTGATGGCGTTAAGTCAATGTAAAATCTTCATATTTCAGACTTTCAACATAAATTACATCATCATAGGTAAAGTAGGCGATAGATTTCAGTATGTGAATTTTACAAAAATTCTTATCTCAAATCTTGCAAGTATTTTTTTTGTAAGATTTAATTTGATAATTGCCGCTGACAGGTTAACGTTAGCACTGAACATTGATCCACCTTTTCAATTTTATAAGAAAATAGGGAGATGTGGTATGATTGCCAATAAGACAACTATTCACCAAAGTTCAAACGGAGTGGATGTAAAAAATTATAGGCTACCGTTCGGCCTTCAACAATGTGAAAAATCCATAATATATAGTCGGCTATAAAAGGCCCGACATGAAAAATATGAAACAATTCAATTGAGAAAACTAACAGCCTCACTTATAACAAACTAATTCACGAAAAACAGAAACAACAGACATGAACCAACAACAACCACTAAACAACAGGCTCTTGACTTGGGGTTAAATATGTTTGTGAGTGCTAAAATCTCTTTCTAACCTAGGACAGTGGTGTTACAGCAAAACATATGAACAAACTATAAAAATCAGTTGGAAAGGGCTTATCTCGTCATATTGATACACAACGATATATAACAATAATATTTAGTTTAGTTTTATATTACTGATAACAAAATCAATAATTATACAAAAAAAAAATATTATTAAAAGATCTAATTACAGTGTTTAATAAGTAACCTGTTAGAATAAGTTTATCGGAACGTATCAAAATTTCCGGGTTCGGTAACCAACATCACCGTAAGAAATTAGTATGTGCTATTCCGTTTGAAATAGGATGTCTACAGGTAAAGCCAAACTTGGAAAGCAAATATTTGTATCTATGGAATAAGTCATTTGTGGTAACGAAATTTCTGACTTAATAATTTATCATTTATACATAGATTACGCTCATTCAAATACAAAACGTCACTTCAGACACGGGCATAGCGAATGAACTGGGACACATAACTTTCAAAATAAAAACGTTAGTTATAGCATTATTAGTAGTCCTGTATTTGTATCCAGTATTCTGAGCTAAACAAGAAGATTAGGAAAAACGACTTCACTTGAGGATGCTTGACAAAAAAGTACCAGGATTTCGTATATGCTGTCTTTTATCACTGGCAAGACATCATCTAGTATTTGAAACTGCTTTATTTTAAAAAAATTGTAAACTAAATTATTAATTTGTTATTGCATAAGGAGTATAACACAAGCTTTAGTGGCTGATATTACCCGTTGCAAAAGATGCATTGTCAGTTTACATAACCTTTGTCAAGTTTGAAGCTACTGCCAGTCATTAGTCAACTATTTAAGAATCAAGTAATCATTTTAATGATTGTTGTGAAGAAATTCAATGATCCCAAAATTTTAACTTTGAATTGCTTATTTGCCTAAAGAAGCAAACGGAAAAGAAATTAAAGTTTATATTGAAAAAAAGTTTGCGTTATTTCTGTGATGAAAATATCTAAAAGATTGATACCATTAACAAAAACTGTGCAATGTTAGTTATAAAGTTCTATTATTTCAGCTGTATGTCAAGCCGGATTTTTCTCTGTTGATGGTGTGCCAACCTGCGTTCCATGTCCAGAAGATCATTACTGGGTAAACAAAACTTACTGTGAACATTGTCCGAATAGTCGCAGTTCCGCAGGGAAAAATGCTATAACGGACATCAATGGTTGTAAAGGTAGGCCTTAATTCAATCTTAGTGAGTTAATTAAACAATTGTTTGCCGATGTCCAAAACTTTTTAATTTATTTATATAAAAGAACAATTCCAATTTTCCTCGTCAATGCAAATATCCTATCTGTCTAAAAGGGCAACAATTACAAAAAACACGCTGTGACGCGCTCAGCATACCTCACTCGTTATTTAAAGGACAGACAAATAAGAAGTACATATAGGTGTCTGATAAATATGAAAACCGCTCACAACTTACAAAACATCACCGCTAAATTGCTCTTCAGTAGAACTGCCAAATGTGTGACGTGATGCTCAACACAATAAACGATGTAAATAATTGACCAAAATGAAGTTTATGTCCGAAGGTGTAAAACTATGACGAACATATTTGTCGGATGAACGGATAGACAAGATGAATGCAATATATGTCCTACCCAAGCACACGGCTAAATCATATATCCCTGATAAGAGAAAATTGTGAATTATCAGATTTATGAAGGCGTATGACTGAAAAGTGGTCACAATTTTGTCTTATGTTGTTAAACGTCAACAACTGTATACTTCAAATATTGTCTTATATGTAAATGTCGGTATTGTTCTAGGAATTTAAAGCAAATTAAAAATCATTGGACATTATTATATTTAAATTTTATGAATACTGTACGAGATGTCAAATAAAAGTATGGATTTTAGGTTATTTTTTTTTCATTTATGACTTCATTTTTTTTCCATACAACTTGAAGGATTGACTTGAATTTTGATTAAACAATTAAATCAAGAACAACATGTAATAATTCAAAACTTTCACGGCAATTTAAGGAGGGGTTGAAAACAATTTAAATTGATTTTAGTCCATTTGGCTGTTTTTGTACGTTTTTTGACATTTTTATGTCAGACAAAAGCTATGATATTTTTGTTGCAACTTCAAAATGAGTTCATATAATTTTTGTTTGAAATATATATTTAGGTCTTTCCACTTTTCTGTGGAAAGACCTATTGGTTTTCTTCTGATTATTATAAGTTCTTTCCACTTTTCTGTGGAAAGACCTATTGGTTTTCTTCTTCTTCTGATTATTATTTTTTTCTTCTTCCGCCACTTTTTTCTGACGGTGCTTTTTTGTTTCGCAAGATGTTGCTTAGATTTTTTGTGTATGATATCGAACAGTTATTGCGATTTTCAAACTGACCCTGTTAAGCCGAACACTTTTTATTGTAAGAGTTATCTCCCCAAACACTGTTTTTCTTGTGTACGCATCTCCTTCGCAACCGTTAAAGATAACGACAAAATTATTTCACCAATTTGCTCGTTATATCCTCAGGATCTTAAGAATAATTTTGACCGAAACGGTCCGGAAACTCCATATGAGAGTTATTTCCCCTTCTGTATTTAAAATAAGTAAAATGTAATTGTAATTGGTAAACCATAAGTGATAGGGACCTAGGGTCTTTTGATTTGAGGTCCTTGGTCCAAAAAAAAAGAAAATAGGGTCAAGGTCAAAGGTCAAGGTCATTTCTAAATTTGGATTTTGGTTTATTTTCACCTCTTTTCAAACACAATATAAGATATCGACAACATATTTTTACTTAATTGTTAGTTGCGACATGTCGTAACACATACATTTTGGTTTAAAGGGTACGCTTACATCAAATTAGAGTTTTCTCCCCTCTTTTATTTAAAAATATGCATATGGTGATATAACTCATGAACCAAATATAATTAAGATCTAGGGTCTTTTGATTTGAGGTCCTTGGTTGATGACCTTGAAATTCAGCTCAAGGTCATTGGTTAAACTGACGTTCTAGATTTTGATCTTTGCTTTTACCTCATATGTATACATGATAAAGCCATGGGACTGTTTGCATTAGGTTTCAAGCAATTTAACCTTAGAAAAGCCAACCAGAAGTGACCTTGTGTAAACCGGAAGTTGCCTTTTATTTGTACTTAATTAATATAAAAGTGTATAGAACCAGATATTTTTGGTATCAGTGTCAATTAAACGTTTGAATAATACCGGAAGTAACATTTTGCAAACCGGAAGTAACAAATTATCTCCTTTATTTAAAAAATATTGTAAAGAAACCATATATTTTTGGAATCAGCGTACAATAAGCTATCATTTGACGCTGGAAATGACATTTTCAACCGAATTTTACTATTTTCATATTAAAATACATGTTTTTTTTGTGGAAAGACCTTCAATTGTTCTTTGAACAATTGGTTTTTAATTATTATTTTTTTTTTCTTCCGCCAATTTTCTCTGACGGTGCTTTTTTGTTTCGCAAGATGTCGCTTAGATTTTTTGCATTTGATATCGAACAGTTATTACGATTTTGAAACTGACCCTGTTAAGCAAAACACTTTTTATTGTAAGAGTTATCTCCCCAAACACTGTTTTTCTTGTGTACAAATCTCCTTCGCAACCGTTAAAGATTACGACGAAATTATTTCACCAATTTGCTTGTTATATCTTCAGGATCTTAAAAATAATTTTGACCGCAGCGGACCGGAGACTACATATGGGAGTTATTTCCCCTTTTGTATTTTTAATAAGAAAAATGTAGTTATAGCTTGTAAACCATAAGTGATAAAGACCTAGAGTATTTTGATTTGAGATCCTTGGTCCAAAAAAAAAAAAAAGAAAATAGGGTCAAGGTCAAAGGTCAAGGTCATTTCTAAATTTGGATTTTGGCTTATTTTCACCACTTTTCAAACACGATATAAGATATCGAGAACATATTTTTACTTAATTGCAAGTTGCGACATGTCGTTAGACATACATATTGGTTTAATGGGTGCGCCTACATCAAATTAGAGTTTTCTCCCCTCTTTATTTAAACAAATGCATATGGTGATATAACTCATGAACCAAATATAATTAAGATCTAAGGTCTTTTGATTTGAGGTCCTTGGTTGATGACCTTGAAATTGAGCCCAAGGTCATAGATTAAATTGACGTTCTAGATTTTGACCTTTGCTTTTACCTCATTTGTATACATGATAAATCCATGGGACTTTTTGCATTTGGTTGCAAGCCATATGACCTTGAAAAAGGAACCGGAAGTGACCCTGAGTAAACCGGAAGTAGCTATTTTATTATACTTTTTGAATGTAAAAGTATATAGAACCATATATTTTTTGAATCACTGTCAATTAAACAGTTAAATAATACCGGAAGTAACCTTTTTCAAACCGGAAGTAACAAATTATTTCCCTAATTTAAAAAATATTGTATAGAAACCATATATTTTTGGAATCAGCGTACTTTAAGCTATCATTTGACGCTGTTAATGACATCTTAAACCAAATGTTTACTATTTTCATATCAAAATACTTGTTTTTTTGTGGAAAGACTTTCAATTATTCTCTGAACAATTGGTTTTTAATTATCTAAACAATGTTTCTTGGCTTTATTTGATGCTCGGAATGTAACCGATCACCCTATCATAAGAAACAGAAATTGTTTTTGTGTGGTAACTTACAGAAATGTAGTAATAACAGACAAAGTGTCAAAAAAGTAATTTTAAAAGGCATTTGAATGTTTAAAATACGTAAATAGCTCAGACAACCAAGCATGAACATCATGGAAATCTGTCATGCGCGAATTAATATTGTAACAAAGGTTTAGTGACAGACATTGACAAAGTGTATTACAGGAAAAAGTCAGATGCAACCTTTACTTCACATTGATTTTCCATTGCACGTCGTCACCAAATACTGCAGTAAAAAGTAAAATCACAAAAATACTGAACTCCGAGGAAAATTCAATCAAAAGTAAAATCACAAAAATACTGAACTCCGAGGAAAATTCAATTGGAAAGTCCCTAATCACATGGCAAAATCAAATGACAAAACACATCAAGCGAATGGACAACAACTGCAAGTCAAAGTAAGTCATTGTAAGTCAGATGACATTTCAAACAAGACCAGTTCAATCCCAAGCTTCCTTCTATCTGTAAAGGCAACCCAATGGAATTGTTACAGGTGGCCAATTCACACGGAGTTTGTTCAGATTGTTATGGCAACGTTTAGACTTTCCCTTCGAATTATATTTCTTGCTATCAGTTTATGACTGACGTCGACTGAATCATCTATATCTGATAGAGATAACTGAGATATGTCATTGAATTGATCATGATGGGGTGTTTCTCTCAGTGCCTTTAGCATGGATATTCTGCCTGAACTAAGCAGACCCGATGTAGTGTCACATCTTGTAGTACCTTTTGCAGCTGGTTAGCTATTACATACATCCGAATTTAACGACTTGCACAACTCTTGAACAGGAATGTATCGCCGACATGAGCGCCAACCATCGTAATGCTATTTATCATTTCTAGTTAAAACGATAATTCAGATTTGTGATTCATTTATGTGAAAATGTGAAATAGTATATTAAAAGCTTTAATGGCAACATCAATAGATATAGAACTGCTGAATACGATGTCAGCCCTGACCTTGGTTTGGTTGTATAATAATTAAATCGCTGATTTCGTCAACCTTTTGTGCAGTTCATGCTTTGTGTATGTGTCAGCATGCTCATTTAGAAGCAAGGCATGGAATTTATTAAATAATTTCGACATAAGAAGGCCTTGTGTTTATCCCTCAAATAATAATTTATTCCTGATATCAACTGCACAAATGCAGTATCATGGTTAAAAGATTCGCTTCATATTTTCATTTCTTTGGTGTTTTCAGTAGATATGTTGTTGTACAGGCCGAATGAGTAAGGACATTTTTGTACTTCAGTAGCTTAAATGAAGTACTTTGCCCTTGTCAGTGAAAATTATAATTTTGCAGAACTTTTAGTTTGCCAAATAATACATTCCAGCCAAAAACAAGAAGTAGTACTCTCTGGACGCTATTTTGGAGCAAGCTATTTAAGGCCAACTAAACTGTGACGTTTTCCAGACATATTTTACAAACGATTCGGAATATGTTTAAACGGTCATTTTAACAATATGTACACAGCTGAAAGTAAACAATTATAAAAAACACAATACAAATTA